TTCCTTTCAAATCATTTTCCATTTTATTCGGCACCTGGCGCTTTGCAGCTGAGGCATTGTCGTTAAATATCTCAGGAACGAGACAAAACTATGGGAAGGTGCGTATTTGTCTGTTCCTCCAAGGATCTTATGATAAGTTGTGCCAATTTTGAAGCACCATAATCCCTCATCAACATAGCAGCCATGCAAACATTTTAAGTAAAGCAACTCTTACGCTATTTAAAAAATAACGTCGTGAAATTCATTTCAGTGATTAGATGCATGTGTTTGATAAAACGTGTTTAATAACATTTTTGTATAAATATAAAATAAGACGACCGCGCGCAACGCACATATTTTCTTGAAGATTTCTTCCTTTTGGGTGTTGCGCCGTGTAATATACTACACAGCGCAACAACCCAGAAGACAGAAATCTTCGTACTCTCCACTGTGAAAACCTCAAATCATGCATATTTTCTTCTTTATAAATCTATCTGTTTTAATTCTGCAGCTAAGCACTTTATATGTACTATATTAATGGAACGAACATATAAACATGTCTACAAAGTTTTACATGAAACTTCTTATTCATTTGTGGAATGTCGTCTTCTGGTTGGTGGCGCTGTATAGGTTTGTTGGTAGTTATCAATATTCTGGACGAAGGTACCGCCTTGATTTTCAGGTAACACTGGTAAAAATAGACGTTATCATACAGTGTTACAACCCCTAAAACTATACTAATTTTAAACCGTTGCAAAAACTTCAAATTCCCTACTATTTTCGTCTGACTGAAAGTATCAACATGGTGAGATGGAGACTATTTCAGGTTATGTTTATACAGTAAGTTTATAAAGAAAGTGCTCATCTGAGATATAAACTCCAAAACATTCCTCAGACAAGAAATTCGTTTTATTGCGAAATCTGAGACGCGCCAAACACAAGGGCCCCATGCTACGGTGTGTTTACGAAGCCAAGTCCTGAGACTCGCAAGTTCAGGGTGCTTAGACCACAAAAGGTGCCGTGCAGATTGTAAGCCGGAAAATGAGAATGTATTGCTCCAACATTGCTTCGCAAGGCACAGTGTTCATAATCGTGTAAAAATTAGCAAGCATTAGCGATTTACAGAGGTTAAAAACTGACTTTAACAACCTGAAATTGCTGCCAAGTTTTAATATCATGGCCCCTTCATTGCCTTCCATCACGCTACGTCTCAATTTCCAAGAAAACTTCTGTCTGTACCTTGTCCAATATAAGAACAAAATAAAATACTACTTTAAGTGAAATTTGAGTGGGAATACTTCTTTATTTCCATTTGTCTAGCTGGGTATCATCGAACCATTTACACATTCGTTTTCTCCTAATTCTATGATAGTTCTAGTCTTCAGTGGTTTCGGAAACAAACTCAAGCATAATACACCGAAATGATGGTGACGATGATTATTCAATTTATTTATTTATTTATT